AAAAAGGCTTTATTGTGATACAATTCCCATTCCATGTAGTTTATAAACTTAAACATACATTTAAGCTTGGCATGGTGGCACATGCCTGTAATCTCAGCAATTGGGAGGCTGAGGCAGGAGGATCACTGTGAGTTCAAGACCAGCCTGGGCTACAAAGTGAGCTCAAGGGCAGCCTGAACTGCATAGGGAGATCCTGTCTCAAAAAAAAAAAAAAAAAAAAAAAAACCCAAAAAACAAAACCACAGACATGAGCATTACACCTATCCCAGCTATCCTTGTATATACATATAAATTTTGTTTTTCATTTTAAAGAGAAAAAGTAAAACAAGTATATAAACAAAACTGCATAAAAACAATAAAAATGATACAGTAAATTCATAATTTATTCTCTTCCTCAATCTCAACTGACGACATTTCATCAATATATATATACACCATCAGTCACTGACTTCTGGTGTCTCAGCTGAAAAAAGTATGCATGCATGTTTTAGGGAATGAGATGGTGATCTTCTAGAGTAGAAAAAACATCTATGATTAAAGAATTTAAAATCCTATAGGGAGAAAAACATATATATCAAAGAAAAACAAGGAAAGCTAAAGAGAAAAAAATATCAGTGACCCTCTATACCTCTTACATTAGTTTTTAGTTGTATTACATGCTTGCTAGAAACATGGTTTTTCTTCTTCAGAGTTCCAATAAAATGCTGTGTATTTGTTACATAGAATTTATTAAGTTGCAGATAACATATATACTAAGACACCCCACTCTGTTCCAACCCCTTCGTCTTCATCTGAAGTTTGTTTCTGTTTATTTTGTTTGGAGTACCAGGAAGTTTAATTTATTTTGTGCCTAACTAGAATAATTGTGTAAAATACTTTATCCATTGTATTCAGATGCTAACATCTTTTTCCTTCTGAAATTTTACCTTCCTATTACATCTACATTCTTACTGGACTTACTTTTCAAACACACAAATTGCTTTGTTTCACTAGTAATACATTTCATTTTAATGTACTTAAAATGTTGCTAATCTTAAATCCCTGAGGAGTTAGAGAAATAAGATTTTTTAAAAACACCGGTTAAAAACAAACAAATCTAGAATATGGTGTACGTATTCTTAACTGCCTTGGTCTCTTCAAAGAGTCAGTATGAAGGCAATTGTTCTAGTTTGAGAAATGAAAACAACCAAACCCAAACCCCAAAACAAATTCAGTGAGTTACATCCAAAGAGATTTTGAGAACTGTGAAAAGCTGAATATAGCCCAGGGAATTAGACAATATTAGTAAATGCTAACTTTCTCAGTACTTGATAATAGCACTTGATTATGAAGGATAATGTTACTTTTAGAGACATACTGAAATATTTTCGGGTGTGTAATCTGTAATTTAGGAATGGTTCAGCAAAAGAAACATGTTCGCAAATATTCATATAAAACTAGTAAAATACGGCACACCGTTGAACTTGTCCAGGGTAGGATTACCGAACTCGGGGGCCGGGGGGCGGGCGGCGGTCAGCTTGGGTTTTATTGTGCTTGCCGCTGTTAACTATGACATCACCAGAAAACTGGAATTACTGAGGCTCCAAAGCACCGGGAACTCTCGCGATACCGGAGCCTGATGGAGCGCGAAATGCGGTGGGCGGGGTCGACAGAGCGACTAACTTCCGGCCCGGCCGTTGTCTGGGCGGCGCGGTCGAGTCATCGCTGGGCTTCGCCGCGCCGTTCTTCTATCCCTCCCCCCGCCCCGGCGCGGGGGGTCGACCGGCCGAGGGGGGCGGCTCAGCCCTTTGCCCGCTCTTCATTTCG